AGGAAAATAAGGCATGGCAACAGCGAGGTCTTCAGCCTTCATTCCAACACGCTTGACCGCTGAATCCTGCCAGGGTGAGTCATGCCCAACACGGATTCCATCCCAGGAAGGAATAAAACACTGCATCATATTAAATCTGCATCCAATTACTTAGGCGTGAACTCGAAGGGTGTGTTTTTATCTCAATGACAGCTTCTAAAAACGACTGTGAAAGAAATCTTGCACTCTGGATGGTGTTTTATCCATCAAGGCCATGACCACCACACATTTTCTGTTGCCAGAGGCATGGCCAAAGTGACCTTCTTAAGAACCACTGCTGCACCTCCGAGAAGAAACATTCCCATGGTATTTAGGGTAATTTCATACTTGTACCATTGAGCATCAGTAACACAGACAACCTGCTGCACAAACAGGCAGTGACCACCCAAAAATAATCTTGGAACAAAACTGGAAAACAGCATGTGAAGCCACAGTGGTCACATTGTTGTAGAACCACAATACATATAGATGTTTTCAGATGCAAAACTAATTAAACTCCCCTTTTTTGGGTCACCCTAACATTTTTTTCACAATTCAGCGAAACTACAATCCAGCAAGTTACATATGTAATAAATTTTGCACATTTGATTATATGCAAACCTATACCTACACAAATATTTCAATCAAAGTTGCTTATCCAAGATCTACTTACTTCAGGATTTATGTATCATAACTGTTTGTGTTGTTTTGACCCCAAAAAAAGAAATTATTCAGGGAAAAAAAATATAAACCACCCTTAGTGCCTGGCCTTGCCTGTTTTCCTCCAACTTCTGCATTTCATCATTAGCATTACATACTTCACTGTTAATTTTAGCCATTCCTCCAGTTCTCATTTGGACATCAAAGAGCTACTCATACCCAAAATACCAGCAATCTGAAATACTGGCTTCCCTACTTATTGTCATTTATAACTTAAAAAGATCTTTGATTTCTTGCCTACAGGAAATACTGCCGATCAAAAATAAAACATATATATGCTCCCATGAATTCCTATAGATGGGGTCCAGGATTTAGCATAATAGACTGGAGACATGGTTTTCAGATTTACATTTCCTACTCTGCCTGGTGCTTCACACGTTTATTTTTGCTTTCACATCTGACATGCAGCAATATGGCCAGCTAAGGTGTACATTTAAGGCATGCTTTGATATAAATCCATGAAGAAGTGAAATTCACACTGGGTTCTGTGTCCTTGCAGCACTCAGGCCTCGCTTCCCCACCGATAACTGCTCCGCTTAGGGATGGCTGCGGGCAGCCCAAGGCTGGCTCACCACAGCCCCTTGTTAACAATTCTGCCACCAAAGATTAAAGTGATTTTCCTGCTCTACAAACTTAGTAGAGAACACTTCTCAGATAAAATAGGAAAAAAAACAAAACATGGTAGCCAGTGTTTTTTCTTTTCTGAAATGCCTGCTGCATGAGTTCCTAACAGCCTTGAGATTATATTTAGAGTTGGCTCTTCACTTTTGCAATTTTTTAAAAATTAAAAATAATAGTACATTACACAACTAATTCCAAACAATGAGAGACTCACTCTGTTCATGCCAGCAAACCATTTGCTTTGGTTTTGTTACTACTCCCATTACACAACAGCTCATGTCTCAAGCAGTGTAACAGTCAACATCAAGATGCTGTTGTTTAGACCAGTATCATAAAATAGAATCATTAAACAGTTCAGGTTGGAAGGAAACTTATAGACCATTTTATTCCCACTCCCTGCCATGGGTAGGCACATCTTCTGCTAGACTAAGCTGCTCCAAGTCCTATCTAGCCTAGCCTTGAACATTTATCACTACTATAACCAAGAATAACTCTCATACCACTAAAAAATTTCAGTATATTTCCCCACAACAGAACATAATTCTGTTCACACAAGATTGTGTATGATACATTTGTGAACCCAATTTTCATAGAAACAGCAGCTACCACTTTTATTTAACCATGTAACATCTCAAGTCTACACACAAGACTTCCTCATTGCAATTTGAACAGCTAGTCCAAGACAGCATTCCACATTAATTATTTGCTCAACAGCTGCAACAGAAATGTCTTACCCCCATGGTTCTCCCAAGCCGGACTATATGGGATTGTTTAGGATAAACATATTCTGATCTTGTGAAGCCAAACAACAAAATGTATAGGTATTTCTTTTCTCTAAGTTACAGTCCAGCTTACAGACAGCAAGGACTTTAAATACAGCAAATGGTGGCAGAACTACTGGCCTTCTCTATGTCAGGAAGTGCTTAGTGTTATCACAGCTTCCAACACTCATTCAGGTTTTGCACAAGGAGCCGATTCCAGGAGCCCCGAGTGAAGAAAAGTACACTAAAAACGTGCTGTTTTGATGATAAAACCGTCTATTTAGACACTTCCACCAGTGCAGGACATTGGTCAGAGACCACAAAACTTCACTGCTCTGATCAAAATAGAAAGTAACAGACTCAATGCTGTAAATTGGGACAGAGGCCTACAATGCTCAAGGCATATGGCTCTGAGCTATGGGCTGAAATCACTTTGCAGTCACAGGGTGTAGAAAACATTTATAAAAAGCTAAACCAGGAACTTTTTGTTTTCATATTCTCAAATTTTATTGAGCAGAAATGTTTGAGGATAGTTTATTGCTTTTACCGGCCACTCTAAAATGGGCCTCCAGCCAGCTAGGTCTTTAAAATATGTCTATATCTCTGGTTTTAAAACATTAAGGAAGTTGTATAATTTTTACACTGGAGTCTGAGTGACTTAGCAGCTAAAGTGACAGGTTTCAGCTGTAACACAGGCACTTTGCAAGCTACAGGCACTACACTTGCAACAGCACCTGTTGCACTTGGTATTGATCCTAATGCAGGCAGGGGATCCACAAGGGTTAATTAACAGGTGTTGAACTCACGGCACATCCCAGGAGATTCAAATTCAGGTGCACCAGAAATCAAACCGTGCATTTTATCAGCTGAGGGAGGGATTTGGTGCTCTGTAAAGTACCAGCACCCTGAGCTGAGCAGTTTTTCTTGCTACCATCGCTATCATTCATAAAGGGCGAAATTGACCAGAAAGTTTGTAAACAAGTCAATTACAAAACATACTTGTATATTGCTACAGTTGTAAATACGAAGGTGTTCACACTATACTGAGAATAACCTTCGATTTTCTATATATACACAAACTCAAAAAAATAGGACTGATTTTAAATCCTAGCTCCCCTTAATTGATTTGTGCAACCTAGAATTTAAACTGACTTTAGGACACCTGAACTTTCAAGAAAGGGGAAAAAAGATGAGGCAAGAACACACTTTTCATAAGGCCTTGAAAGCCTCAATTAAAATTCAATATTGTGCTTTGTGTAGAGGCTCTTTACATAAAAACCCTGTCATGGTTAAGATTTAAGGTTAACCAGGTTAATAGAGTCCAATAAAATAGCTCTATTGAATTATGCCAAGCCATTGTTATAATCCACACTAAAATCTGCTATTTGACTTTACCTGACTATGGGGCTCAAATCGGAACCATAAATTAGCTTCAGCCTCTTTCCCACACTTGTTTAAAAACAAAGTGCACGCTTTTGCACCTTAAAAGGTTTCTCTCCTCAAGTCTGCTACTCCAGTCATGTGTTAAAAGATTTGTGCAGACCTGCCAAGTCCCATTCATCCCAGACACACTTTCCTAAAGTTGGGATGTGTTTACAAAGTATATTTAAGCAGCTCCTCTACACAGCATTGTGTTCCAGGCCATACTTAGCTTATAATAATAAAACTGACTGCCTAAAATCCACACATTTGGTACAAGCAGCATTTTTAATATTTTTGTTTTCCTTCTATAAAGCTTGATGGAGCCAAAGCTAAGGGCGCGATTTTTCCAGACAGCTTCACTAGCAGAACTCCTCATATGTATAAACATTTTAATTCCTATGCTCGGACTCAAACTGGGTTTAGATTTTGCCGCTCCCATTAACCGCTCACAAAAAGCAGCCCCTGCCCTGCGCACCTTGCATGTCAAAACAAAAGGGCAGAAGAAGAGTGCCCGTAGGAAACACCTTCCCGCGGGCACTGTGACCGCGGGCCCAGGCCCGGCCAGGCCAGGCCGCGCTGCCCGCCCGCCGCAGGGCCCGGGAAGGGCCGGGGAAGGCCCGGGAAGGGCCCGGGGCAGCCGCAGCCGCTGCCCGCGCTGCCGCCCCGCCGGCAGCCATGTTCGAGCGGCGGGAGGCGGCCCCGCGCCTCCACGGGACCGGGCCCTGCCCGCCCGCGGCGCTCCGGGGCACGGCGGGGCCGGGCTCAGCGCGGCCGTAGGTGCCGGCAGCCGCGGCGGGCGGAGCCGGCTCCTCTGCTGCCCTCAGTTCCTCCGGGCTCCCCCCCCACCCCGCCCAGCGCGGCGCAGCTCGCCCGCAGCTCTCTCTACCGCCGGTCCTGTAGCCGAGCGCCCGCCCCGCTGACCCCTTCCCTCCCTCCCGGGCTGGCGCGGGCGGCCCCGCTCTCACCCCACCCCGAGGGCGCTCACCTCCTCCTCCTCCTCTTCCTCCTCACTCCCTCCTGGAGACCGTCGGCACCGACGCGCCGGCGTCCCGGCCCCTCCCTCAGCTCAGCGCCGGCCCCCCCTTCCGCCCCGCCGCCCGGGGACCCTCCCTGCCCGCGGGGACAGCGGGACGGGCCCCGGGGGATCCGCCGGGCACGGCCCGGCTGCCGGAGCTGGGCACGGGCAGGAGGAACCCGGAGCGAAGCGATGGAACGGGAAACAGACCGCGCGAGGAAAGCGACGAGCCCCTCTGCAAGAGTTTTGGGAGCAAGGAGGGGTGGGAGGAATAAATAACAAGGAGTTATGCACCAGGTGGGCTAGAGAAAAACAATTAGAAAGAAGACGGTTTTCTGGGAGAAGCAACTGAAAAGAGTGACAATCAGAGCTGTTGCCAGTTAGATATGAGTAGGAGGTGTGTGTTCTTTCCGTAACTGAAGCCTTTTCAGGTGGTGCAGCTCCTGGGAGAGGCTGAGCAGGTGTTGTCATAGAATCATCACAGATTCGTGAAATGGTTTGGGTTGGAGGTGACCGTAAAGATTTCCTAATTCCAACCTCCTGCTATGGTCAGGAACACCTTCTACTAGACCAGGTTACTGCAAGCACCATCCAGCCCAGCCTCAAACACTTCTAAGGATGGGGCAGACACAACTTTCCTGGGCAACTTGTTCCAGTGCCTCACCAACTTCCCAGTAAAGACTTTTTTTTTTCCTAATATCTAATCTAAACCTGTTTTCTTTGAGTTTAAACCTGTTCCCCGTTTTCCTGTCACAACATGGTCTTGTAAGTTGTCCCATTTTTCCTGTAAATTCCCTTCAGACACTGGAAGGTCACAACGACACCACCCTAAAGCCTTATCTTTTCCAGCCTGAACAATCCCAATTTTCTCAGCCCTATCTCACGGGAGAGGTGCTCCATCTCTCTGACCAACCTGGTGTTCTCCTTTGGAGGTGTAATTATTACAGGCAGCTGTATCAACCCTCTTTTTGCCCACAATGAGTAACAAACCTTCCCAGCAAAACTATTTTAGAGAAGAAATGTTTTGTCACACTGACTCAGTTTAGCATGGTGTTATCTCTGGTATGTAGACAGAAACGTGGGGGTTTTTTTTGTTTTTCTGGGTTTGTTTTGTTTTGTTTTTTAATACGAAGTCAAAATGAGTAACACCTAATGGAGTGACGAAGCAGAATTTCCAAAGAGTACAGCTGTGAGAAGCATCAACACTAATAACTTGAGGAATTACGTATTTTTTTTTCTTGCTCTGGCTAGTCAGTGATTATGAAAGAATAACAAGAAGGCTGATTTGCATGAGAATTACCCTTAAGATAACGCAGCATTTTGTTTCACAAGTTTTTAGGTTCAAAAATCCTGGTAAAGTTGTTTTCCAATAGCTTTCCACTGTCCTGCACCTCTGAATTCCTGACACTACAAAGCTGTGGAAATATGAAAACATCATGAAGGAGACAGCTCTTCATGGGCTTTACCTAGGCAGAAGTGGTAAGACCTGAAAATCTTTTAATATTTATCATGTACATTATAAATGATTTTATAAGGTCGTGTCTTTCAGGCAGGGTGACAGATGAGAAACCCTCCAGTCCAGCTGAATAATTTGCCCCTGCCATGTGCTGGAACGCAGACAAACAGGATGTTTTATCCCCAATTTATGGATAGAAAAATTGAGGCAAGGAAGTGAAGGCATTTATTTTCTAAGTGTAGAAGTGCTCATTTGTAAGCAGGCAATTTAGGCTTGAACTTTTTTCTCCCCTTTTTTTTTTTTTTGAGGAAAAGGGCCGTGTATATACAGTTCCCATTGAAACTACACTTGAGGCACCCAAGCAGAAAGACTTTGGCCATACTCTTTTGGGGTCCTGCAGCCCTAATCCCATGTTCTAATTGGCCAGTAATCTGTGGACAGATATTGTAACAGTTCCTTTAGAATATTTTTCTACTTCTCACTCATTTGCATACTAATGGCATAAAAATAGGCACTTCCTGCCAGTAATTAGTTGGAGCCCAGAATTTAAAGAAAGAAAAACACCACAGCATTATGGTAGATGGATGGTACTGAGGAAGCTGCAAAAAAGAGTCACTTCTCTGGTGCTCAGAAACTGCCTTTAATTTGGAGTTCGAGGCTGGCAACTCTGTTACCTCTGTGTGACAGGGATTAACTGTTTGCTTGGCCTAATAACTTTGCCTCTAATGAGCCTGTCTAACCTTTTTCATGGCAAATCACTCGATCTGTCCTGCACCCAGGCTCGTTGCTGTAAAATGTTTTTCTTTCTTTGCCTTTTTTTTTGCCTTTGATAGAATCATGGAACAGTTTGAGTCAGAAAGGACCTTAAAGATCATCCAATTCCAAGTAACTTCAGTGAGACGGTGAAAGTTTGTTTTGCTGCTTTCATTCCCCTAAATTCTGGAGATCCTCAGTACATGGAGCTACTGGAGTGAGTCCAGCAGAGGATACAAACATGATTGAGGGGCTGGAGCATCTCTGCTCTCAAAGAAGCAGGGGATGAATCTAGTAAAGAGTGTTTAAAGACTGAAACCTGGCAATGCAGAGTAAGTGTTTGGTTCCATTAACAAGATCCAGAACCAGAGAATGGCTTGGGTTGGAAGGAACCTTAAAGGCCATCCAGTTCCAACCCCTCCTGTGATGGCCAGGAGCACCTTCCACTATGCCAGGTTGCTCCAAGCCCCATCCTGGTCTTACACATTTCTAGGGACGGGGCAGCCACAGATTCTCTGGGCAATCTCTGCTAGGGCTTCCCCACCGTCACAGGCAATAATTTCTTCCTAATATCCAATCTAAGCATACCGTCTTTCAGTTTAAAGCTCTTCCCCCTTGTTTTGTCATTCTAGCCCCTTGTCCCAAGTTTCTCTCCAGCTCTCATGGAGCCCCTTTTGGCACTGGAAGGGGCTGTAAGGTCTTCTTGGAGCCTTCTCTTTTCCAGGCTGAAAAACCCAGCTTTCTCCATTTCTGGAGATGCTCCACCTTTCTTACACCTTTATATTTTCCCTTCCCTCTATGCATCCCACTTTGTTACTAATCTTAATGTCAAGCATGTGCCAAACTCTCTATTACATTGTGCTGAACTTAGAAGTGAAATTGTGTCGCTTTTTTTTTTTTAAATCTTGAAAAGCAAACCTTGTGAAGCTTGTATCCAGCAGAACTATAGTGCCAGAAAGTATTTTCCTGAAAACTTTGAGGCTGTAGCTTATTAAAGCACAGCTCCTTAAGATGATTGGGTCTATTCCATTAGTAGATTTATAAAGTGTGCAGACTGGATAAACAACAGTGACAGCTTGGGGAAGTGTATGCACCTGTTTATTAAAAAGACGTTAACAAGGGCAAATCTAAAATAAGAACATGTACCACAACCCAATTTTCAGCAAATTTTTATGCATGCCTACACTTAAGGTTACCAATGTTATTGGCAATTTCTCTCTCTCTTTTCTCTCTCAGAAGTACACAGCAACTGATGAGCATGGAGCATCTGTGGCAAAGGAAAAAAACACCGTCTTCAAATTTTGAGGAGCAAACACGACCCTTTCTTTTTCTACTGTTTTCCACCCACATTCAGTTAGTGTGAGAGAAGAAAGAAAATTAAAAAAAAAAAAAAAAAAAACAAGAAAAAAGTAGAAATATTTTCTTTGCAGGGAAGGACCGAAGAATGTATTGTTCTCTCATTCACAAGCAAGCGCTTTCATCACCTCTACTTTCATTTTGCTCTACATCATAAGTGACAGCAAGTTTTCTGTATTTTGCTGGTATAACTTAGAAGGGGTCACGATTCTAAAAGTTCTGCAGAACTGAGTCTTCTGTTTGGATGTATGCAAATTCTACAGCACTTATGCCACTTGTACTTTGCAGATAGGTATAAGCGTATGCAAAAATGGAGATTATATGTGTACATGCAAGTTTTCAGAATTAATCAACCAAGAATGTATAAAAACTACAAATGCTTTGCTGAAATTTGGCTCAAAATAGATTTATGAATTAGTCTGCTATAGCAGCTTTCACTCAAGGCTGCTAAATACACTGCATTTTTATAAATAATTAATAATTTATAAAATTTGCATGATGATGAGCCTTGGAGCAGCCTGGTCTAGTGGGAGGTGTCCCTGCCCATGGCAGTGGCATTGCAAGGAGATGGTCTTTAAGGTCCCTTTTAACTGAAACCATTCTATGATTCTGTGATAATACTATTGCCCCACAAAAGCATTTTAACAATATATCCCAGTCTTGGGAGAACCTGATGGTACTTCTGTCTATTCAAAATTTCTGTAGTGGTGTTTTTTATAAGTGTAAATTGCTGTCAGCCTGGAGCCCCACCAGGATTAGATCTTAATCCCCAAAGATATGTAAGTGCTACCACCTCCTTTTTAGGGATTGAAAACAGGAAACTGCGTGGGTTAATAACCAAGTA